GCAAACATCACAGTCGTTATAAGTAAGCATGGCGCGCTTCAAACCACATTATACCAGGAGAAAAAGAGTTCTAGTCCTCAATTTTGCCATGAATCATTTCTTTTATAAAACAACAAACACATGGAAGTCAACATTTCCAGTGCTCTAGAACAGCTTTAAGACTTTCCCAAAGCCTCAAACCTTGTAAACCTGGAAACATGCAAGTATGAAGAGGGGGAGTTATATTTGTATTTAATGAGTGACTCCTCTCACTCCGCAGAAGCTCTTCCTTTGCTGTCTCCAGGGCAGTCATCTAGATTTCTCTGCTGCTCCCCAAACCTTTCATCTCCCTCTCAATCTCTCCCCCCTCCCACTTTCCAACCTTCAAAGAGTCCTTTATCTTGAATAAGCCATGGCTTTGCTCAGCCAAACCTTCTGCCTGTCATCAAATACTTTCTTCCTTTAGCCTGATTTCTTGAATAAGGTGATTCAGGCTGATGGGTTTTTCTACTTCCAAAACTGTCTTTAAAAATCATCGTTAATGCCTTCCTAGTCTAATCCAAACAATTCTTGGGGGTTGTTTCCCTGAGCTTTCTTTTTCTTGCTCTTTCAGCATTTGACAGGGCTGGTGTCTGAGCCCATGCTGACGGGCTGAGCCCACGTTGAAATGGAGCCATGAGCGCTCTGACTCATGACTTCGTTCTTCCACTGCATTTCCTTTGTTCTTTTAAACAAAGGAAAGGGAGGGGAACTGTGACTCAGGGGGTAGAACCCCAGCCTTGAGTGGAAAAAGCCAAGGAGCATGGGGCCCAGTACTGTAAACCAAAACACAAAATCAAATTTCCACTGGCCCTTTCAACAAGCTCATCCCTTGGTTCTTCTACTGTAGTCTGTTTCCAAACACTGAAAAGTGTCTTTAAATTCCCCCCAAATCTTCTCGCAAGTCTTTATTCCTGGCACACAGCAGCTCCAGGTCTAAATCATGAATCACCCATTGGTGACAGATCACTTGAGTGCTTCTCAGAGCTAACCATAGTCCAAACCAGATTTATGATCTGCTTTGTTTTGAAACAACTTCTCCCCTGACTTTTGCATTTCAAGCCCTGTTCTTTCAAGCTGCCAACCCCAAATCCTTGAAGCTACCTTGGTTTCCCCCATTCTCCCTGGCCCCGCCCCCTTCCCTCAACTCCTTGATTTACAACAGAAATATGGGAGCCATATGCTTTTGGCTCCTGCCAAGTCTGGAGATGTGGATTCTAGGCCCAGTTTGCCATGTAGGAGTTCATCCTGGAGTTCCTTGACTCAAACTAACGCATCTATAACACAGGCTCCAGAGCCTTCTCATGTGGCTATGTGGCGTTCACCACAGGAAAGCCCTTGCCTGTTCTAGCTGTTGGACCCAAGTATGTGATCCCCTGTTAAATGAAAGTGGTTGCTTTGCAAATGGCTATTTCCCACTAGGTGGGACTAAGATGCTTTATTTAAAAAACAAGACAAAACAACAACAACAAAAAGGTATTGTTGCCAGGCACTGGTGACTCCCACCTGTAATCCTCGCTACTCAGTAGGCTAAGATCTCAGGATCAAAGTTCAAAGCCAGCCCAGGCAAGAAAGAAAGTTCCTAAGATTCTTGTCTCCAACTAACCACCAAAACGCTGGAAGTGGATCTGTGACTCAAGTGATAAAGTGTTAGCGTTAGGCGAAAGAGCTGAAGGACAGTCCTTTGGTTACGGGAGTACTGTGAAAGAAAAGCTTAATTGTGATGTGTCTTCATGTCTACTATAAATAAGCGTCAGCTGCACCTTGTAAAATGACAGGAAAAAAAATCCTCAGAGGCAAACCTTTCCTTTCCTTTTTCCCCAAATACCATTGACTACCAGGGCTTCTAGAGTTCATGTCTGACTGCCTGGATTTGAACTCAGCGTCTTGTGAAACCTTGTTTTTAATGGCATTTTTCCATGGCTAATATAAAGAGTGCCTGGTTCCACGTGCTGCTGTCTTTTCTTCCTGCTTTGCTTCTCTGACTAACAGACTCAGGCTGTAACACATCCCCATCTCTGGAGCCAACCATGCTCACCTCCATTGTTCCAAAGGTCTGAATAAGTACATTCAGAATCTCCACCATCACCAGCATGTCTGTAGATTCAGCAAGGGAAATGTCAGGAAATAAAAAGTCTACAACAAAGGGACAGAGAGGGCAAAACGTGGGCTCCTACAGAAACCACAAGCAGCGTGGTAAACACCACCGGGGGTGAGGTGTCAAAGGACGCATTCACCCGTCCAGCAAAACTTGTGAAATCTCCTTCTACGATGATGCTAACTCAAGTCCTGATAATAGTTCCATTGTCTTCTGCCCAGGATTACAAAAATCTTTGCAGTTAAACCACTCCCTGGTTTATTCAGTTCCTCTCTTACTTTGATAAGCGAAGATTCTCACTGAATTAGCAAAAACAGATAAGGGCAACTGATTTCCTTTCAATTGAAAGGAAAGTTATTAGTATATGCAGGGTACTAGGTGGGAGGGAGTTCACAATGAGCCCTTTCTCTGGGGATGCCTCTCTAGTAGGTGCTCCTAGAAAGCCAAATCAGAACAAAGTTCACACCCAGAACACAAGGTGAGCATTCCTGCAAAGTAAATCTAAATTGGCAGGGAAAGTTAGTGGAAAAGAAAAAGTTATCACATACTCACTGCTGAGTAGAAATTACTTGTAAATTATCCACTATTGATTTATCAATTAGAGAGAGAGAGAGAGAGACAGAGAGAATGACTCATTATAAATGAGTCTGTAGACAGGACACATGGTTTGGGTTAAAACAGTTGAGATGCTATAGCCTTGGGCTTTTTTTTTTTCGAAGTAAAGATTTCATGCATGGTTTGGAGTCCAGTCCCAAGACTGGGTAGAAAAAAAATGATAGGTGATTTGAACTCTCTCTGTGGCTCACAGTGCCTGTCATTGAAAAGCAAGTCACAGACATTTGTTTTGAGGAAGATGATCAGCTCTCTCATTTAGCCATGCAGAGACCAGTTTTTGAAAAAGGAAGTCACATAGTTTGTTCCACAGAGATGGCCACCACTCTCTACCTCATTTCTAGTTGCTCTGCAGATATCAACAGCTTAAACTGCTTGGGGAATTAATCTGTCTGATTTCTGACTTCCGCTTCCATTTCTTTTGGCCTCTCAACCAATTGATCTTGCAGATGAACCAGTACCCTGAACTTCTGTTGTTAGATGTTCTAGGATATACCTACGGGATGGTAGCCACAGAGAGAGAAGGAAATCTCTTAAGCGTTGGACCAACTTTGTCCCATCCAGCCCTGCCTCTGGCTGCCGTGGTGGGCTTGTAAAATCACTTCTGGCTTGGGTGCTATTGTCCCTCTAGTTCCAAAGTTCTACCGTTGATGTAGCCAAGACAAATAGTTCTCAGGAGACAGGTTTGATTTGGAAGCCTTTCCCACCTTCAGTGCCCACTAACGGTATGGACTTTCAATGCATCTGTATCAATTTTGAATCAGATTACAGACTCAACAATGTGTTTTTTCAGGGAAAAGAGCTAATTCGTAAATTAACTGGATCCTTCTAATGAAAGCAACCCTGCTGCGTTATTAAGACCAGCAGGTAGATTTGGGGAAAACTTCAAATGGCACCAACAGGGCTGGGTAATTGAGAGGATGTCAATGTCTGTAATACGAGGTTTAACCAGCACCCTGTGGCTTTCCTCTGGGTGTAGAATAAAAGGGCTCCCACTTCACACAAAACTTTTGTGTGTGGGAACTTCCCAAAGCAGCTGTCAAATAGACAGTGGGCCATCCCTGGTTTAAGGAATGGAAGAGCAGCAGAATGCACCCTGAGGGAATGACACATAGAATAATCCACGAGCCACTATAAAGTGCACAGACATGTGTTCACCTGGAGACCACTGCGTCAAAGTGGACCGAAGTACACAGAGGGAGTGGAGACTGGAGCTGTGTGCAGTGGGGTATACATGGTATCTGTACACTCAAGACCCGCATCTGCATCACCTCCATTGGGCTGAGAGTCTCAGTAGCTTAGGAGAGATCAACACCAAATATCCCAGAGATCAGGGAAGACAAAGAGACTTACGCTACAAATAGTCCTAGCCCTCGAGGACCTGCATTTACATAAACATGGCGGATAACTTGGAGAGAAACAAGTGAGACAAGAGGGTTCTGGAGAGGTAGATGAAAACAATGCCAGTCTGGGGATGGATGGAGGCTGAGAAGAGCAATAGCTGTCAGAGCTTCTCTTCGTGTGGCTTCCATCTCCTGCGGCTCAGGCATGGCCTGACCTTTTGCCTCGGCCATTACAGACCGAACATCCTAGAAGTTAGGTGTGGATAGTCAATTGTATCATGGGGTTCTAGGCCTAAGCCACCACTTACCAGCTGTGTAACTTCGGTCATCTATCTTCTCATGTGCACAAGTGTATATGCATGGGCTTGCCTAGCCTAGAACTAGGCCCAACCATAAAGTCCCTATTGGCAGCTACATCCTGAGGCAGGATTTAGTCATGGGAAAGGGGTGTGGCCAGCAAGAGAGGGTGGTTGAGCCAGAGGAGTAATGATAATTCAGTGTTTCTGGCCTTTGAAGGCAGAATCTGAAAGCTCCAGGCTAGCCATTCTTCAGGGCAGTGGGACAAAGGCATTTCTGCTCCCAGTCGGGACCAGATGGTAGTGATGCCTAGAAGGGTCAAGCCAGCCTTGAAACTACAGGAGTCTGGGTGAAAGGAAGAGTTTTAGTCAACCGACTACAATGTTTACCCAGCCTAAATGCTCCACTTGCAGAAAAAACAAACACTGTGAATGGTTTTCCTCTTCCTGCTGGGTTACTTGTTGAAACTTTTCCAGCAGTGTCATACTGTGCTGACCCAGAACTTTCCATCTCTTGTCCTAGGAAAGTTTTCAAAGGCCTGGAGTACACAAAGCTGGTCCCTTCTTCTGTGTTTTCCTTTCCTGGCTTGTTCCTTAACTCATTATAGTGAGAATTTAAAAAGATAACGCTGGATGCTCATGTCTGTCATCCTAGCTACTCAGAAGGCTTAGAGCAGAGGACTAAGGTTTAAAGCTAGCCTGGGCAGGGAAGTCTATGAGACTCATATTGCCAACTAACCACCAAAGCAAGCCAGAAATGGAGTCATGGCTCAAGTGGTAGAACATAAGCTTTGAGTGAAAAAAAACTACGCGAGGGTGAGGCCTTGAGTTCAAACCTGAGGAACAGCGCACAGATGCACGCACACACATACACTCACATATACTCAAAGACAATGCTGGGATAGGGGAGACACACAGACAGAAGGTGGGCAGGGAAAGAAATACAGGCATAGAAGTGGGAGGGAGACAAGCTGGAACTCCAGGATCTTGCACCGTCCATAAGCCTTTGGTTCCATGGGTTGTGGGGGAATTACTGGGCTGCTTCACACACAGCCATCACTAATATCCAACAAATGGGAAAGCTTTCCTTCCATCCCAGCCCAATCCCCTATATGCCACACGGATTCTCTGCGTCAATCTCTTTGCCTTCAGCCCTAACATTCTAGGCATATCCCATAACTCTGGGACACAGAGCTCAAACCATGAGAGGATGTGAAAACTTGCCGTGAGTACCACGCGTGCTTGCTGAAGGTGCTAGCGGTGAGCTCGGTGGAGAGTTCCAGTGATCTGAAAAGTGGGTGAATGTTGTTCTAGGCCCTGGGGGTAAATGCCATGAAGCTCAAGCCTGAAGAAGACTTAAGAAATAGCTTCTCATTCATGCCTAATTCCCCCATCACATAGATCTTGGCCATCAGAGGTTGCTTTTAGTGAGGTTGGAGCAAAAGGTCATCGTTCCTTTGAGAGCAATTCCCATGATTATGGCTATGACCTGTCACGGACAAACAAGACCGAGTCTAAGCCAAGCATGTAGCTACAGGATGCCACTTCCACGCAGCCAGCATGCCCATTCCCCTAGGGAAGGTAGAGAAATTTATTTTCATATAGCTTGTTTCCCACTTGGCATTGGGGCATCACAGAGGGGAAGGAAGAAAAGGGACAGAATTCAAACAAAAAAAAGCTTTACTAAGCCGGGTGCGGGTGGCTCACGCCTGTAATCCTAGCTACTCAGGAGGCTGAGATCTGAGGATCACTGTTCAAAGCCAGCCCGGGGAAGGAAAATCCATGAAACTCTTATTTCCAATAAACACTCAGAAAACCGGAAGTGGCGCTGTAGCTCAAGTGGTAGAGCACTGGCCTTGAGCTGAAGAGCTCAGGGACAGCGCCCAAGCCCAGAGTTCAAGCCCCACGACTGACCAAAAAAAAAAAAGCTTTACTAAGGCCAGTGGAAAAGCACAGATAATCAGATAATGTCCATCAACAGGAAAGATAACAAAGGAACGCACAGAAGAATCCGGAAGTTAAGAAAGTTACAAAAGGAGGAAGATTAGTGAAAATTGGGAAGTTCAGTTAAGAAAGTTACAAAAGGAGAAAGACTAGTGAAAATTGGGAAGTTCAGCTCTTAAGACAGAAGCTGAAAAACAGTAGATAACAAGCAGAGATAAATGCAATGGCTGTTTTATTTCTTCTTGCAAATAACCATGCTCTGGAAATCCTAGGATAGGACAGCAGACTGAAGGCGCAGTTTAGGGCATGCAGAGGGGTCCTGCTGATTGCTTTCTTTGTCCCCACTTGAAGTGCCCTCCTCCTCCCCTAACCCAACTGCATCAAACTTAGGGTGTGTGCCACCTTTTATGAAATAACCTTGGGCTATCATGGGTTAATTAGTTAGCTGAATCTATTCTAATTTGCTAATTGGCTCCTGTGTCACCTAGATGAGGAAATTAAACATTAATAGTCACTTCTTGGCTGTTTGACAACTACTGAGTCATTTAATATCTCGATTCTTTCCTTACCATAATTAAAATATAGGGGGTGGACTTAATATCACAGGAAGAGATGATATTTGAGGGGGGGCCGGGGAGGGTAAATGGAAGGGGACGGCTCCAGGGTGCCATTTATGGGCTTGGTAGGAAAGGAGGAAATGAATGTAGCAGCCCAATTGCCCGGAAGACTGCAAGCCGGGCACAATTATGGCTGCACCCTCCGGGGGGAAGGAAGAGCCATGCAGAATGTCCCCGAGAGGCTTAGAGTTTCTATTATGTTTATTAATCATCTTGATGAAAAGGAAAGTCTGCATTGATTAAATCCACTAATGATCCCAAGCTAAGCAAGGGAGTAAATTCCAGAAAGGATGGATTTATAAGGTGAGTGCTAATATTAATCAGCTCGTCTTCAGGAAATGGGTGGCAGTAAATGAAATGGGATTTGCTGAGGATAATGCCAATGAGGTGCACCTGGGAGGAAACAGTAATGAGGCCAGATCCAAAGTAGGAAGGTGATAATAATGGAGAGGAGGGGGAGCTCTGAAGAGTGAATGATAAAGGAGGAGGGGAGGGGCACATAAGTGAGCATGTGCACACATGCCAATACTGGGGCTTGAACTCAGGGCCTGGGGTGCTGTTCCTTAGTTGTTGTTTTTGGTTGGTTTTTTTTTTTTTTTCCACCACAGCTCCACTTCTGGATTTTTGGGTGGTTCACTGGAGATAAGAGTCACGTAGGATTTTACTACCCAGGCAGGATCCTCAGAGCTCAGCCTTCTGAGTAGCTAGGATTACAGGTTTGAGCCATGGCCCCCACTAAATGAACGTAAATGGCAGATCCCAGCATCACTGAACCCTTCTGTGGTGGGAGGAGACCAGTAGGAAGTCATGACTGGCATAGTGGAAAGCAAATGCATATTGCACAGTTATACGTGCACAAGGTACGGTCACATGGGATGGTCACATGGCACAGATGAGGACTAAACATCCGCAATCGAGTGCATTCGGACTGATGGAATTTCAGTACGATTGCGGGACTGTCGATGTTGGTTTTCTAGTTGGGATTTTCTTCCACATTTAAGGGCATCAGTTAGTTGTAGGGAGGGGTGTGATTTTGGCAGGCCCATAGGTTCATACGCTGTCCTTCAGCAGACTCACCCCTTCCATCACAATTTTCCTTCTTTTCCCAAACCAATCTCAACAGACTTCATTGCTCCATTTTTACCCATGGACATAAAGTATGTTGACCATATTCGCCCTCCTCCACCCTCTCCCTTCACCCTCCCCCTCTCATGAGCACACCCATTTTACTTACTTGCCTGTCATCCAGGTTTTAAGTGAAGGTAATTGTTCCAAAGGGGTTTCACCTGGAGGTCTGCATCAGCTTGATCCTCCTTGATTACTCTCATTTCCCCCAACCCAGGGCTACCCACCGTTATGCTTTAGGTTATTCTTCCCCTGCCCCAAGATGTTCCCCAAGGGTAAGAACACAAATCCAAAACAGGGACAAAGCCAGGGGAGGGTTTGTACTGAGGAAATGGTGAGTCACTAAGCTTCATCGGTCTCCCAGAAAACCTACATAGTAGAGAAGGCAGAAGCGCCAGGGAAGTTGAGTCGATAGCAGAGATGCAGAGATCGCGGTGTGTTTTCAGCCTTGAGTAAGGCCACCACGGTAGCATCAGTATGGGGGACTTACCTGCATGAACAGGCTGACTCCACTCACTCCAGAGCCCCGGCTCACGGCACACAGAGCTCACCGTGGCCCGCACTTGAATGGAATACTTAGAAATACCGTGAGTGGTTGAGATGAATTCATTGGTTGTCACTTTTTCCATCTAGATGGGAGAAAATAGCATTGTAATAATCTCTAGACACATTGTTTATGCCAATGACCATCCTGCAAGGTCATTTGGAGGTCAAGTGACTCTGTGCAGGCAGTAATTTAAAATCAATAGGAGCCATTAATTAGTGTATTCCAGATGTCTTCAGTGTGATAAACTGCAGTCACCCTTCAGGGAAAGCTTCCTTGGAACTAAAATATAGGAGGTGGTCAATGGTAAAGTCGAGGCGATGGAAGTTGATGTAGATTAAACAGCATAGGTATGGGAATATCTCTTTGGGACCCTGTTTTGATTTTTTTTTGTATATATGCCTAGAGATGGGATTGCTGACCATTTGATAATACTATTTTTAACTTGTCTTTCTATTTTTCACAGCTGCTGCATAATTTCATATTTTAGCCAAAACTAGTCATGAATGAGTCTTTGTCTGATCTTTTGTATTATTTTCAACCTGAACTATGCCCTTTGAAAGAAAAAAAGCTCTAAGATTATGGCCTATTGCTGTAATACCTAGGGTATAAGTTAACTTCGACCTTGTGAGTCTTTAACAATACCCAGAAAAGCCACGGGCAGAGTTTTTTTTTTAATACTTCTAAAATAGACATTTATTATCAAATATCAGAATTATCTGAGAGCCAAGAACAAGTAGTTTATGCTGTAGTCTGAGCTACTTAGGAGTCTGAGACATGGAGAATCATGATTCAAAGCTAACTCTGGGCAGAAAAGTCTATGATACTCCAATTAACCCGCAAAAAGCCAATCCAGAGGCATGGCTCATGTGGTAGAGTGCCAACTACAAGGGAGAAAAAAAAAACAGAATTTACCTGAAAATAACCATTCTTTGCATTACAAATTTTCACTTCATAATCAAAACACTGGACTGGAAAGGCAGAAACTGGTTTCTCCCAATGGATAAAGAGGTGAGTTCCTTGAATCTCAGCTGTGAGGTTCATTGGAGGATTTACTTGATCTGGGTTAAAGAAAGGGAGATCCATGTCACTTCTTTAAGTCACTCTTCTCAAGGCATTTCTAAGACATGATCCTCTCAAACCACAGGATGCTGGGGCTTCCCAGAGGGCTCCTGTATTGTAACACTGGAAGAGAGCTCACCTTCTGTACCATGAAGAGATGTCCACTAGAAACAGAAGTGACAGGTTCAACCCTTTCCCTCACCTCTTCATTACAAGACTCACTCCATCTTTCCAAGTTGTAGCCCAGGCCTGCATAAGCTTGCCCAAGAGAATACCCTGGTGCTCACACCAGATCCACCTCAGTCCTCGCCTCTACATGGCCCAGGACAAGTCACATAACACCTGTTATGACCCTTCCTCAGAGATCTATCTCCCTTGCTTGTCTTAGGACTGTGTAAGGGGAGTGAAAATGACTCCTAGAGGAGAACCTTTGTTTTAGATTCGATGACATAGATAATAATGACATAATCTAAGAATGATATCGCTGCTTCCAGAGCCAGCCATTCTCCCAGAAGAAAAGCCTTAGCCAAGAGAGCACTTAGTACTTTTTAGCAATTCTAGAAACTGGCCTCAGTAAAATAAAAGCCAGCAAATAACATTTCTGTCAAGTGTTCCAGCCCATATCCAGTTCTATACTGTCCTTGTCTCCCAGATCTTCTTCTGCATCTATTGGCTATTTTTCATGAAAGTGACAATTGTAGGCTACCTAAGAAATAGACAATGGAAGAGATCCGTACGGCCTCTTTAGCAAGGGTTCAGATTCTTCCAAACCAAAGTCATACTCCATGAGAGCAGATATGTCAGAACCCAAATCATGTCCTTTATTTTAGTATATTTACTACATCCTTAGCCAGGCACCACTCTAATTCTTATACCCACAAACAAAAAGTCTCATTATCTCCCATTTCCTATGTCAGAATAACTAGAGGAATAACCAGATTTACTAAGGCAACTCAGCAAGGCAGAAGAGCAAAGCTGTCTGGTTCTCCTCAGCCACTGAAAACAACCATTCATTCAGAAAGTTTTAGCTGTTAATCACCAAGAACCTGCGTGAAATACTCTGGATGTGTTTCATGAATAGAAATATCTAGGACACACTGGGCGCCGATGGCTCACGCCTACAATCCTAGCTACTCAAGAGCCTGGGATCTGAAGATCATAGCTCAAAGCCAGCCCAGACAGGAAAGTTCCCATTAAGACTCTGATCTTCAAATAACCACTCCAAAACCAGAAGTGGAGTTATGACTCAAGTAGTAAAGCACTAGCCTTGAGCAAAAGGGCTCAGGGATAGCACCCAGGCCCTGAGTTCAAGCCCAAAAACCAACAAAAATTTTTTTTTTAAAAGAACTGTTGAGGACAAAAAGGATGGCCCTCTGTTTGGAGAACTGAGTCCTACACTAGGGCTGTCATTAGAGCTCAAGAGCACTTAGAGTTGGGCCAGTATGGTAAGGGGTTCTAAGAGGAATCCATGAGGAATTGGGGAGTGGGGGGCTAGCTTGGTAAGGAAAGGCCTCAGGAAGGGAATCTTGGCGGCCTTGGGACACCTTATGGGGGAAAGAAATGCCCAGAGTAATTCTGGCTTAACTGATCTATGGGTCACAGGAATTTCATAATCCCTTTCCCCGCTGATGGGAGAAGAAATGGGCTTCTTTTGTCAGTGTGTTCACTGTCCCTGGCTCAGACATTCTCACCTGGTAGAAATGTTGTCATCGAAGGGACATTCCACAATGAATGGGCATTATTTTTTGTGGCCACACCTTGAGGGGTAGGGGACAGAGTGGGAGCTATGACTGACATCTCATAGATAGTATCCATATTGAGAAACACCCTCCCAATGTCCATGATGGACCCCTTTATCCAGCCAAGCATTTCAGTAAGCTAAAGTAAGAAACCTGTCCAGGACTTGTCCAGCTATGGGTTAGATGCTAATCATCTTCAGGAAAGCGATCCCACCTTTTCTAGTGCTGTGATTCAATCATTTCAACCTGGGGAGAAACCCACCTTACCAATGGCATGTAGAGCAAATAGCTGATCCAGCGGCTGGATGGTAGTCTGCTTGCTGGAGCCATTCACGTGCACTGCGAGCCACTCACGGCCTCTGCTGTGGATAAACGTCTCGGGGAACCAGCATGCAGTATTTCTGCTCCGTGCGTCTTTGCTGTAGGCTTGGCATTGTTCTGTCACGGAGCCATACCTAAATTGGAACACTCGTGAGTCTCCCAAGAAACCAACTTCTTTGCAAAAGTGGAAATAGATACTAACCTATAATAGAGGAAGTACTGTACGTCGTCAGGGGCCTCCTCTCCAGCAAGCCAGGCACAACGCAGAGAAACTCGGTACGACCTTAAACCTGTGTAATTACCTACCACAATGGCCGTGGTGGTGGTGGTGGTGGTGGTAATGCAAGTTAAATTTATGGCGGAGGTCCCAGGAGCCCCTAAGTGGAAAACAACAAGAGCTAAACCTTGCTCTGATGGATTCTGCTCTGATCGATTCTGCATCTTGTTACTTTTGAGAATCTGCCAAGGGCCAACTTCACCAGAGGAAAGAAACTAGAGTTACCCAGCTGTGGGCCTGCGGGAATTGGTAGAATGTTTAAGAGTCAGGGGGTCTCCTGGGGGAGTTGACGGGGTTCATAGCCTCTCAGAGTTCCAGGGGACCCTAGCTCTTACTTCCTCATTTCTGTCGCATTGCAATCATGAAGTGAAGTTTGTTTTTAACTTGCGTTGGTCATGGGGCTTGAACTCACGGCCTGAGCACTGTCCCTGAGCTTTTTTTTGCTCAAGGCTAGAGCTCTACTACTTTGAACCACAGCTCTACTTTCGTTATTTTTTAGTGGTTAATTGGAGACAAGAGTCTCATACACTTTCCTGCCTGGGCTGACTTTGAACCTCAATCCTCAGATCCCACCTCCTGAATAGCTAGGATTACAGGTGTGAAGCACCAGCACCTGGTGTGTGAACAGTTTTGCTCTTCTATATACTCCCCCTGTAAGAGGCTGCCTCACCACACAGCCTGAAAACAATGGGACTAGCTGGCTTAACTGGCAGAAATCAGAGACAACCCTTTTCTCTCTGTAAGTTGATTGTCTCCAGTGTTTGTTACAGTAACAGAAAGCTGACTAACACAAGAGGAATGAGAAGACAAATGTGACTGGTGCACTCGCATACCTCAACACCTAAAACCCAGCACTCCGATCTTCTCTTTTTTTTCTTTTTCTATGTTCTTTTATATTTCCATTTCTGTGTGTGTGTGTATTTAATCAGAAGTATCAGTATCTCTATGTATCAGAAATTGCATAAATAGGCATTCTAGCAGGGTGTTTGGAAGGAATGGGCTGTGACAGGAAGAAGAGATGGACGCCTTGCTCAGGTGTAGAAGATACAGCCACAGGTAACTGACTAAAGTTGTTGGCTTTGCTTTCTCTGCAAAGTCTGAAGTACAATCCTGGGTGCCTGGTGGTCATTACCTGGTGGGGCTTGAAGTTCTGCAGAAACCCAGGTGCTGGCCAGGAGCGAGCCCCGGTACCACGCGATGGTCTGCACACTTGCCGAGAAGCCACGATGGAGCGGAATTACACACCTGCTTTCAGTCTTCCTGGTTTCGTACTAATGACAAAATCCAACAGCCATGAGATACATCACAAGAGAACAAGGTCTTCAAGAGCTGTTTCTTAGTCAACAAGCCTTTGATTCCATGTTTGAAATGGCACATCAATAAAACCCAGTGAGTTTTGTTAGAATGAATGACAAATACAAAAAAGTTGGACTACAACCTAATTCCTCGGTGACACATGACTATGTTCCTCTAATATCAATAAATGAAAGATGATTATAATTAAAGCACAGGATCCCTTTGATTTCGATCACTCATATTAGTCTCATTCTCCAAAAGTAATTGCTCAGCAGGAAGTTCGTTAAAATTCTACCTTGACTGTGAAACGGTTAATACAGGTTTTCTCTCCCTTCACCGGGCTTAGCTGCACACCTAACGTGTAGCAGTGTGTTAGGATGTCTAAGACATCCAGCAGTTGCTCCAGGTTGCAAACACAAGAAGTAGATGAACTTGGCTTTGAGCTTGCTTTCTCTACCACCGGACCTTCCTCTGTCCTACCATTTACCTGGCTATTTATCTCCTGTTCTTTTGGCCATATTAGAAGAAACATAAAACCAGTGTGTAATGCCCTGTACTTAACAATGTAGTAATTCTGTTGTGCATTGTAGTTTATACCAAATAATAAGCATGCAATTATTCACAGATACCCGTACTGGTATTTCACAAAGATATGGGGATCAAGTGTAAGAAGCGTTTAGAATGGACACTCACATCATCTTCTTGTGGGCTGTGTATTTTCACATAATATTCTAGATTAACATTCCATGGCTCCTGGTCAGGATTTGGGTGCCAACGCAAAAGAACTTGGGACAAACCCATAAATTTGATGGTGAAGTTGACAGGTGGAAGAAGTAAAACTATGATTCAAAGAAAAAAAAGAAGCAATACAATGCCCGTTTGCACATCAACAGTACTTTAACTTTATCACTCTAGGTTCAAGTCCAGAGTCTTGCACTTGCCAGAAAGTACTCTACCAGCAAGCTCCATCCCCAAGCCTCTTAAAATTCTAACAATATTTTGTTGTGTAACATACTATTTTCTTATGGCATTTAGAATACATAATGCTGAAGTAATCTTGGAAGAACTCTTTTAAAATTGGTTTTATTTTCTTAACTTTGCCTGCAGTATTTATTTGTTTTTATTTTATTGAAGATGAATATTTACTACATCACAAGTCATTGTATTTGTAGTTCTCAAACTGAGGGTCATTATTTATTAATGAGTTTGGTTAGCAATTTACTGGGTTGTGAGCAGCATTTTTATTAGTATGGGTTCATTGTAACACAGGGAATTCATTGTGATGTGTCCGTTCATGCTATCCACATGACAGAAACAGAAAACAGCAGAATACATCAGATGTCATGGCAACTGCTTTTGTGAATGCCTTGTTTCCATGACACAAAGTTACCTATGTATTTCTTTATGTAAATGGCATGCATTTCTTTTTATGAGTCACAGTGAAAAGTATATGAGAGCTGGGTGCCCATGGTTCACGCTTGCAATCCTAGCTACTCAGGAGGTTGAGATCTGAGGATCACAGTTGGAAGCCAACACAAGAAGAAGGTCCATGAGATTCTTGATCTCCAATTAAACACCAAAAAGCCAGAAATGGAGGGGTAGTTCAAGTGGTGCCAGCCATGGGCAGAAAGGCCAAGTGAGAGCTTGAGGCCCTGAATTCAAGCCCCAGTATTGGCACAAATACACACCACACACACACACACACACA